TGAATGGACATGTTGTTGGTACTGTATGCAGCCCGTGGTGGTGTGCAGCCCACTGTAGTAATGTAATCGGATGAGTGAACCCAAGCAGAAAAGTAACAGATGGCAAGATTCACGGCCGCTTCCTGCACCCGTCCCTTCTGTCCTTTATCTCCACAGTATTCTATGCTTGTTGTTTTCCTACCTTGTCATGTGGCAGGCCTGTTTTTTGTAGATGTACTCTCACTATACCAAAGCTAGAACCTTCATTTTGAATGCATGATGAATGTGAACATGAAAACACTTCTTCTACCACTTGGTGCTTGGCGCTGCTTGCACTTACCTTCATGGACTGTTAACCATTTTAAGAGTGTTGTACAGGGAACTATATGAATAAACATGAGAGATGTTCTCTTCAAAATCTATTTATTTATTTATTTATTGAAAATGCAACAAGACATTACACTGACTCTCAAGGCAGCAAAGCTGATGTTAGAGAGTCAACACATAAGGACAAAACATATAGGGCACATAATATCAACAGTGTGAAATTACAAAAAAAATGATCACAAGAACCTATATCATTCCAATTAGCCGAGTAAATATATGTACACATCTAAAATAACACATTTGGAGGTCAGAGGTCGATAAAATAAGTCACAGTCAGACTACCTTATATGAGAAAAAAAGGATACTAAATAACAAGGTTAGAAAGGAACAGCTGGAAGTGCCTAGAAACGGTTTGTTGAAGTGATGTAAGTGTGGAAGGAGTGTGAGAGGCTTTCGTTTAATGTGATGTCATTGCCCGGGGACCCGTTGAGTAGAACGCTGGTGGAGAGGGGCCGTCTCACGAGGCGGTACACAGCAGTGGCAAGGTCTTGTCGTGCCGCTGCGTGCAGTGGGCAGTGCAGGAGGAAATGTGTGACTGTCTCCGAGGTTGCACCACAGGCACATCCCCGGCCGGTAAGGTTAAACTTGGCCAGCGTGGAGTTAAGCTGGCACCAGCCGATGCGGAGTCTCGTGGCGAGTATGTTGCTGCGGCGGTCACCGAGCCTACGGTACCCCTGGTGGTGACGGGATGACAACATGTGGGCTCTACACCTCTGTTTGAACTGGAGGAGAGATGTGGCTTCCTTCACTTCCTTCGGAAGATTGTTCCATAGACGTGTGGTATATGGAACGAAGCTGCTTCCGTAGGTGTTTGTTCTACAGTAAGGAACATGCAGATGTGTATCGTTCCGTAGGCGGAGATTCAGTTGTCTTTGGCTGTCTCTGGTGGTGGGAATTAAGAGCTGGAGGTGGGATGGGACAGAACCTGATACCAGTTTGTACATGATCAGGAGTCGGTTGAAGTCTCTCCTGGTTGCGAGACTATCCCACTCCAGTTCTTCCAGGAGCTTGCCATGAGGCGTGCGTGCCATTGCACCTGAGACGAGGCGCCCCGCATGGTACTGGACTTGCTCAAGGGATTTAGCTGCCGTGGAGCTGATGTTGCTGAGGAGGACGGACGCGTATTCCAGCTTGGTGCGGACGAGAGTGTTGTACGCAATCTCCATGGCTTCACGAGGTAGCTTGCTTTGGAGTTTGCCCAGCAGCCCTAGTACTTGCCTCGACTTGCGGCAGACCACTTCTGAGTGTTCCTTCCAGCGAAGTGTATAGTGTATTGTAACACCTAGGTGTGTGTAGCAGGTCACCTCTTCAACGCGCTGGCCTGCTATGTAGATAGGTGGTAGTTTCACTTTACTTTGGAGTGTCCTGATACACATGACTTTGCATTTGTCGGGGTGCAGCTGCAACCCCCAGTCATGGAACCAGTTGGAGACAATACACAGGTCAGCGTTGGTCGTTGGTCTTCAAAATCTACTCTATCTACTGCACAGTGAACGTATGTTCGCTACGAGGATTAAGAAACTGCACTGACAACAGTCGAATCCAAAAATCATTTGCCATCAGTTCAATTTTACATTGCTGTCATGACAGGAAACGGTGTGAAATATCTGAAAGGTTGGCTTGGCTCAGAAGTTGCCCATTATGTGTCAGCTATGTTCCAGACTGGGGAGTCCTAATGGTGTATGTAGCAACAAGTTACCGTGATTCTGCCATTAAATGCAGCAGTGACTGTTTGGAATTTGTAGTTTAATGTCAGCGACATATCTAGTCTCTGTAGAAGCAGTTACTAGACATAAAGTAACAGCTCTGTTGGGTCCCAAATGAAATTATTCTGTTAAGAATCTGATTAATAAGATATATAGTTCAGACATAATTACTGGGATGTTTATGCCTTAACTTGAATGCTTTTTTTTCTGCAGTCATTTTGTTCCTAGAAATGCAATACCTTGGAGTGTAATAATAATTACAGAATTTTGATTAGATTATGTTTCGCATTCATTAGCTACCAGTTAACTCTCCCCTCATTACCGGCACTAACACAGATAGTCTGATTTAATCAGCAGTATTTGTATCATAGAAAGGTAGCTTTGAAACAATCCTTTGTCAGAAATTTATAGATAATTTTATCAGGTTGAATGATGTTAGAAATTGTCGGAAATTCTACCTTGTAACAATGTGACCTGTGTGTTGTTATAATCGTTAAAACGAACATAACAATGAGAACAGGTTGTTTTGCACGTTCCGTGCCATGCTAGCGTTTCCAGTAATTAGTTTATCCCAATTGGCAGTGAGCTTGCTTGCTTTTGTTCCTGATTAGGATTGGTAATACACAGCATTAGCATACAGATGCAGGCTGTTCCGTGTCCGGAATCAGTGATGATGTAGAGATTGGATACACAGTAAGGCTCTGATTGAACAAACAGGACCGTTTTCTGGAGAAATTGTGTCTAAATCTGAGTCCAAGCTGAACATGCCTTGTCCAGTTTGTAACCCATTACTGGAGCCAGGCCAAACCTGTTCTCATATATTTTACTCTTTTACAAAAGAAAACCATGCAAGTGTATACAAGTATACAACAATGTTTGGTGGATGTATCTGTTTTGAGACAAGTAGTCCAAATTTTCAATATGTGATATTGCTTGTCTGGATTGCTTTCATATGCCCACAGGTATAATATATTCGTTCCTGTTGACATTTTTCATGGTGCAAAGACCTACTTCTTTTTCAGCCCAACTGAATGTCAACTCTTTTATATGTGTATTAAACCATAGAGCCAGAGGTGCAATACTAATTACACGGTCAATTATGGCATTAATTGATAATAAAGCTAGCTGGAACCCAGGGGTTGACCAGAAGCAAATGTTACTGTTGGGATGGATACGAGAAATGGATATTAAAATTAATGCAGTTGTTGGTTGATTCACAAATATTCACTATAGTAGACTTTCTTCTTCAATTTTTGTATTGATACATATACATCCTATGTTCCACTTTCTAAAAAGTCTCTTCGTTCCTCAGCCCAATTATTCTGTATCCCCTAAAGGAAGCTTATTGGTTTTTTTTTTTGGCAAAGTGAAAGTGGTCTGTAAGTCTTCAGAGTTGACAAGACAGGACGAGATAATCTTTTGTGGATCATTGACTGCCTTAAACATGATGAACCCTCTTTCTTATTCTGAGAAAAGAAAAACATGATGTAAGTACATAGATTGTTACACAAGCCATTGTGGCCCGACAAGTCTCCACTAAAGAATGTTGTTTATTGACTTCTATAGGAAGCC